AGTGGCGCTGTGGCTCAAGTGGTAGAGCGCTAGCCTTGAGCTGAAGAGCTGAGGGACAGCGCCCAGGCCCAGAGTTCAGGCCCCACGACTGGACCCCCCCAAAAAAAAGTTACCTATTTCTATGGGTATTAGAAATGTAAAAAGTATATGAAATGTACTTGTGGTTGATATAATTCCTTCCTTCCTCCCTCCCTCCTTCCATCCTCTCAATCCAGTTTAATCTGGCTCAAAACTGGTTTAATCTGGCTCGAGCCAGTTCAATCTGGCTCAGTCCGGCTCATACTGGTTTAATCTTGTTTAATCCAGCTTGAGCCGGTTCCATCCAGCTCTGGGTTCCATCTGGTTCAATCCTGCTAGATCGGTTTAATCCAGCTCCATCCGGTTCAACCCAGATAGATCCAGCTCAGACAGGTTTAACCCGGCTAGATATGGTTCGATCTGGCTCCATCAAGTTCGATCTGGCTCCATCCAGTTTGATCCAGTACAATCCGGCTCAAAACCGGTATAATCCAGTTCGATCTGGCCCGATCGGGTTCAATCCGGTTCCACCTGGCTGGATCTGGCTCAAACCGGCTTAATCCAGCTCGTCCGGCTCCATCTGGCTGGATCCGGCTCCATCTGGCTGGATCCGGCTCCATCTGGCTGGATCCGGCTCAAACCCGCTTTTTCCGGTTTGATCTGGTTCCATCTGGCGCAAACTGGCTTGATCCGGCTCAAACCGGTTCGATCCGGTTTAATCCTGTTCCATCCTGCTCAAAGTGGCTTGATCCGGTTCCGATCTGGTTAAATCGGTTTCATCTGGCTGGATCCGGCTCAAGCTGGTTGAATCCAGTATGATCTGGCTCAACCCGGTTCCAGTATCTTTACAATAAAATAAAATAAATAAAGGCTAGGAATGTGGCTTAGTAGTAGAGTGCTTGCCTAGCATGCATGAAGCCCTGGGTTCGATTCCTCAGTACAGAAAAAGCCAGACATGGCGCTGTGACTCAAGTGGTAGAGTGCTAGCCTTGAGCAAAAAGCGCAGGGACAGTGGCCAGGGCTTGACTTCAAGCCCCAGGATGGGCACAAAAATGAAAGGCACTTGAGCCTAATATTTTTGCACTCTGCTCTAGTTCTGTCCTTCCCACGGGCCAGACATTTATTAGACTCTGTGACTCATTTTCCCCAAAGCCTTAACCCTGATGGTAATTTGAACTTCTCCTTTCCACTCTTTCCCCCTAGTCTGCAATGGCCTGACTCATACAGCACTCGTTTAAAAACCGCTTCCTGCCAGCAACTGTCACCAGAGCCTTTCTTTGGGATTCAGTTCACGCGCTTCCCCTTTTCTGCCCAGGACTGGATATTTTTTTAGCCGACAATAAAGGCTGAGGGCATAGTGTTGAAAATTGCTAAAGCAATTCTGGCCAGCTCCATAACGGCCTTATAAAACCTATGCATCTGGAAATCTGTCCACTTCCCCCGCAAGACTGAAAGTGCAGGGAAGGAGGCGATTCCCGCGGCTCGTGTTCCGGGGGAGTCGCTGGGGACCGCCGAGACTCCAAACGCCCCTGGGGCATCCGTACGGAAAGCTTCCAACATGGCCGCCCCCATGTGTCGGCGTCCGTACGGGAGCGGCCATATTACCCGGTCAAGGCGGCTGTCCGTCCGCCCCGAGGATTCTAGACTCCCCCGGGCCGCCGTAGAGGTCCCGGTTCGCTCCGGCACTGGGGTGCTCGCGGCGGCGGAGGAGGTCGGTCCTGCCTTCCCGGAAGCACAGCAGCCCCTCAGGGAGGAGGCCGCCGGATCGGACTTGCGCAGCAGAAGTCACCGAGACGGGCGCTGTCCCCGCGCGGGAGACGCGATGCTCGAGGCCCCGGAGCCTCCGACGCTGGAGGACGTGGCGGTGGTATTCAGCTGGGAGGAGTGGCGGCTGCTGCGCCCCGCGCAGAAAGACCTGTACCGGGACGTGATGCTGGAGAACTACCGCAGCCTGCTGGCCGTGGGCGGTGGGGCCGGCCGGCCAGGCGCCCTGTCCACGCTGCTCCGGGGAGGCCCGTGGACGGCGGGCGGGGACCCGCACCGTGGCAGCCGGGCCGACGCCGGCGCGGCCGATCGTGGCGGGCCCAAGCCGGCGCGGCTGGGGGGCGAGGGGAGCGAGGCAGGGCCGTGTCCCGCGCGGCTTCCGTGCCGGGACACCGGTCCGGATGGCGTTCACCTCCGCGGGGAAAGCGCGCCGCCCGACGTCACCCGCGTTGCCCCGGACAGCCGTGCGGGGTCCCCGGCTGGGGCTTCCTCTCGGCGGGCCAATGGCGAGACCGAAGTCTCCACGAGCCGGAAACCCCTCGGCGCGGGATCGCCCCCCGCCGGGCCCACGCGCGAGACAAGTCAGAAAGCCAAGAAGCCGCACGTGTGTGCCGAGTGTGGGAAAGGCTTCAGCCGGAAGTGCTGGCTGCGCGATCACCGGGTGGTGCACACCGGGGAGAGACCCTACCGCTGCGACCTGTGCGACCGCGCCTTCTCCCGGAAGTTCATGCTCACCGAGCACCGGCGCACGCACACCGGGGAGAAGCCGTACGCGTGCGCCCAGTGTGGGAAAGCCTTTCTCCGCAAGTCGCGGCTGGACATCCACGAGAAAACGCACACGGGCTCGAGACCCCACAAGTGCGGCGAGTGCGGGAAGGGCTTCGTCCAGAAGGGCAGCCTCATCATCCACCAGCGGATCCACACGGGCGAGAGGCCCCACGCGTGCGGCGAGTGCGGCAAGGCCTTCATCCAGAAGATGTGCCTGATCGCGCACCAGCGGCTGCACACGGGCCGCACGCCCTTCATGTGCGACGGCTGCGGGAAGTTCTGCTCGCAGAAGGCCGGCCTCATCAAGCACCAGCGCATCCACACCGGCGAGCGGCCCTACGGCTGCGGCGAGTGCGGCAAGGCCTTCACCACCAAGCCCAAGCTGGTGGTCCACCAGCGGACGCACACCGGCGAGCGGCCGTACGCCTGCGACCAGTGCGGCAAGGCCTTCGCCTACATGTCCTGCCTGGCGAAGCATAAGCGAATACACGCGCGGGTCGGGACCCACGATCCCGCGCCGGGGAGTCCTGCGCAGCGCCACGGGCAGCCAGGCCCCGAGCAGGGCGCGCAGGGCCCCAGCCCGGTGGGCGCAGGCAGCGTGGCGCCCTCGCAGGGCCCCTCTGGGGGCCTTCAAACATCACTGAACATCGCTGGGCTCCCGGAAAATCGGGGCGTCGTCCTGGTGGGACAGCCAGTGGGGTCGGGAGGGGTTGCACAGGAGAGGAGCCTCGCGTACGTAGTGAACTCCGCCCTGCCGTCGGTGGTCAATTACGTCTTGTTCTGTGTCACCGGAAACCCGTAGGAAGGAGGGCTGAGCAGACAGGTCTCGTTCCTTGAAACCACAGACAACACAAACACTCCGACAGACGATAAACAGCCAGTCAATAAAGATGGATGGCCCACGCCTGTAATCCTAGTCACTCAGGAGGCTGAGATCTGAGGATCAAGGCAGAAAAGTCCATGAGACCCCTCCCTCCAATTAACTGAAAACCAGAAGTGAAGCTGTGGCTCAGTGGTACAATGCCAGTCTTGAGCAAAAAAAGCCATGGGAGAGTTTGAAGCCCTGAGTTCAAGTCCGAGAACTGGTACTCGCGTGTGCCCACAGAAGATATGATGGCTTATTGTTCAACAAGCATGTCTTGAGCGAGAGGGGAGGACTGCTATATTATGGCACGTAAAGCATCTTCGAGCACAAAGTTGTTGTTTGGTTTTTTTTGCGTGTTTATTTTGCAAAGGTAGAGTTAGGACTCAAGGCCTATACTTGCTAAGCAAACGCCCTGCTGCTTGAGCCGTTCCCCTATGTTTACCCCCCAGTACTTTTGCTTTAGATGTTTTCCAGTGTCTTACACATTTTACCAGGCTGGCCGCTCGCCATGATCCTGCCTAGGCCTCTGTTGTAGCTGGGATTACAGGTGTGGACCATCACATCTGTCCTTTGAAGTGGTTTATAGTTGCTTTATGTTCTTGAGCTTGTCTTCTCAAGGCTAGCTCTCTGGTGGTTTTTTAAAACTCGTGTTTTCCCTCTCAAAGAGGTGACAAATTCTGACACTTTTGGTGACTACTTAAAAATAAAATTAGAAATTCAGTGCTTCAGCTACATGAGTGGCATTTCAGGTGCTCAGTAATTGAGTATGAGGACATCTGCCCTCTCGGGCATCAGAGGCAGCAATTCTGACATGCAGTAATATCTCTGTCATTTCTAGAATCACACCAGCAATGTTAAGTCTGCCAAGAAGACACCTGCCTGGCTTGGCCCACGTCTCACTAGTTTAACACATCTGGTACCTGTTATGGTTTGCTTTCAAAAAACAATTGACTTCCCCCCCCTTCCATTGCCCCCCTTAAGCTGTTAAATTAGAGTTGTTCAAAGAAGTTATGCCACTGGAATCCTCCCCTGCATAGACCAAACTTTAATAAGTTTGTGTATATCTGCATATGACCCTACATATATATATGACTCTACATATATATTTCTAACTAAAGTCTTAAACATACAAGAGAAAATGCTCATCCTTTGATAGAACTTTCTGTATTTTTCAACAGTAATAAGTGACTAAAATGATTGAATAATGAGTAAGTCATGCAGTTTGACATACTTCTAAAAAGAAAAATACCCAATGTAAAAAGGTAGTTGTTGGAATGGTTCATGTGGGGGAATGCTTACCTCATAAACACGAGACATTGAGTTCAAACCCTAGCACTGCCAGCTAACTATCTACCCATCTGGGAAATAATAGGAGTAGTTGATTGCCTTGTGCACCCTTCTAGTATTGCTTTTGTGCTTTTCTAGAAGCTGGAAAATAGAGACCGTAGATAGTGAAGATTCAACAGAGATATGGCGGGGAAGGCAGCAGGCCAATAAGATGAAGGTTTTTTTTTTTTTTTTTTTTTATCAAGGTTCTTGAACTATGGCTCCCAAGTTTTAGATGCTCTTGATTCATTTCAAACTAGGGCTGAAGGGCATGAAGTCAGGGAAATGGTAAGAGCTAGATTTCAACAAAGACTAAGAATAGTCAATGAGAATGAAATCAGAAGAAAGGAGATGGAGAGGAAAGCAGGTGGGAAGGTGGATGACTTTAGCGTACAATAATCTATTATATATTTGACAATAAAAGAGAGGCGCTCAGAGGCTCCGAGTACAGAAATGATAAAAAGATGGAAATGCTAACTACCCTGATTTGGTCATTATACATTGTATTCATATATTGAACTATTATATGATAACCCACAAATAGGAAAAAGTTAAAAAACCATGGAGAGCCATATGAAATGGAAGCATATTTAATATATAACTGAACAAACCAGACCAAACTGATCAATCATTTCAAGTAACAAGAACTTTGAGATGTTACTAGTTTTGAGCTTTCTGTTTTGACTTAAACTAGATTTGGAGAGCCACCTACTGGTAAATCAATAAACTGAATTTTAACGGATACACAGAGTTGCCAAAGAATTTACAGGATGCCCAGTTAAATCTGAACTTCAACTACATAGCATATCACTTTTTTTTTTTTAGCATTATAGTATTTACTTAATATGCCAACACTAACTTGTTTTAAGTTTAGAATTACACTCATGTGACTTAGAACTAAGATTTTTTTTTGCAGTGGGAATCCAGATAACACGATTACTTATGCTAAATACAAAATGAAACATTCACCTTGCTTCAGTATGAAGGTTTGCCTGCTGTCCCTTATATTCTTCACTTTTTTTGAGATAGGATGGCACTGTGTAATCATGTAACCCAGGCTGGCCTGAAACTCCAAAATTCTCCTGACTGCTGAGATTATAGGCATGCACTCTTTTTTTTTTTGTCAGTCGTGGGGCTTGAACTCTGGGCCTGGGCGCTGTCCCTCAGCTCTTCAGCTCAAGGCGAGCACTCTACCACTTGAGCTACAGCGCCACTTCCGGTTTTCTGGTGGTTTATTGGAGATAGGAGTCTCACGGTCTCTCCTGCCCGGGCTGGCTTTGAACCACGATCCTCAGATCTCAGCCTCCTGAGTAGCTAGGATTACAGGCGTGAGCCACCAGCGCCCGGCGCAGGCATGCACTCTTGTCACTTATACCTTTTATTATTTTCCGGCGCAGGCATGCACTCTTGTCACTTATTTTATTGTTTTGTTGCTACTGTTGGTCTTTTTTTTTCTTATTCTGGAGATTAAACCCACTGGGACAGGTGCTCAACCATCAAACTACACCCTTAAGTCAATACTTTTCTTATCTTTTTCTTGAGGCAGTGTCCTGCTATTATCTCACTACGTATGAACTCTAAAGTTCTTGCTCTCAGATTCATAAGCCCAAATTCTGGGATTACAGGTGTGTAACTACCATGCTAAGCTTATGCATTTTAATTTCTATTTTGCTTTACTAACTTATTCACATGGCTTTATTTTTATTTTTTTTTAGATGGAAGGTGCTATTCAGTGAGTCATCTCCCACTCATGTCTTTCAGGTCACTAAAGTTCAGGTACAGAGGAGTCCAAGTCTCAGAGTTCCTCATCCACCATTGCTGAGAGAGGAGAGGATGCAGTAGGGTTGTCTCTCCATGGTTTGTTTATAGCTGTCTTTTGTTACTTGTTTTTGGTGCCTGTGCTGGGACTTGAACCCCAGGCCTAGGCGCTGTCCCTGAGCTTTATCACTCAAGGCTAGAGCTCTACCACTTTGAGCCACAGCACCACTTCCAGTTTTCTGGGGGCTAATTGGAGATAAGAGTCTCACAGACTCTCCTGCCCAGGCTGGCTTCAAATCATGATCCTCAGATCTCAGCCTCCTGAGTAGCTAGGATTACAGGTGTGAGCCACTGTCACCCAGCAGTCCCTGAGCTTTATTTTGCTCAAGGCTAGCATTCTTACACTTGAGCCACAGCTCCACTCTGGCATTTTTGGTAGTTAATTGAAGAGTCACATGGACTTTTCTGCCTGGGCTGACTTCAAGCCACGATGTTCTGATCTCACTCACCTGGGTAGCTAGAGTAACAGGTGTGAGCCATCAGTGCTCGGCTAGCTGTGGTTTTTAGTGGCTTAAATCCCCTTCAGCCAAAACCTACCAGGAGAAACATGAACCTGGTCACTGTAATGGATTTCTCCTATGGTAGAGCAGATTTTCCTCTAGAACAAATAAAATTGCATCTGAATAATTTCCCCTGATTGCAAAGTTTGGCTCAAGATGTGTATTGTAAACATTACAAGGTGGAGATGTTCTCTGAAAGCGTCATTTCAACTGGTGAGGTCGTATGTTTGGTTGGGGACATCTTTTGTCTTTCCCTCCCTGTCTTCCTAGGCAGAAGCATTCAAAGGGCCTTTGCTCCAGTTCTAGCTTTGTCTTTTCATCTGTAGTTATGCATTAAATTAATCTTTAGGTCATCTGCAAATTCAGACTGATGCCGTTTGAAATGGCAGTGCTTCTGCCCTGAACACACCAGAGCAAACTTGTGGCCGAACCAGTTGGTTTTTTGTTTTTTGTCATTGTGCTGCAAAACCTGGGCAAAGTTTGGGACTTGTGGGCAGGAGGGAGCTGAGCTCCTGTTGTTGGATTCAGACCCGGGTTGGAAGGCTTGTGGGATCATGCGAGGACATGGGGTTTACTGTGGATCGAATGCTCTCAGACCACAGGAGTGAGCTATGCCCAGGACTCGGTGGGGAAGAGTAGGCAAGCTGGGCTGTAAGTAGTGAATCACCAATGACTTGTATTAGCTGGAAGAAGAGCTCTTTGGTATTTCATGAGTTGCACAATGACCTTGTTTCTATCTTCGCTTAGACAAAATTATGACATGGCCTTGTTTTTCTCTTTTTCTCATGATCTCGGCGTGACTCTGACTGGAGCTCATATTCTGTGATTATGTTCAGCAGGAGATGGGCTAAACTTAGCTGTGAGCGCCAAGCTAGCTTCTGGCCACCCCTAGGCTGCAGCTGTATACACACGCGCGCACACACACACACACACACACACACACACAGAGTCTCTTAGTAGCTGCTCAATACAACTTGTATCCAAGGCTCTTAGTAGTTAAGTAGTTCAGTAGTAAAGCTCTAATACTAAGGTTCTAGTACTAGGCATCAGGCTCTTAGCAGCTGCTCAATAAATTCTGGTTTCATAGGATTGAATCTGAGCTCCAATGACTGACTTCTATATTCTCCCTATCGCCGGACAGTGATTGCGAGGACCGAGGACATAGTTGGGTCAACATCTCCCACTGAATACTACTGACACAGGCGGCGCTGAGTAGCAGCCGGCTGTTTGGGGCCAGCTTTCCATACCTACCCCGTTCCTCTCCTTCGCCCAGCAGGAGTGAGCAGGCACAGGTGAGGTGACACGGCGGCTCCTGTGGCA